GGACGAGCAGGCATCGGTAAGAATTTTAAAATCAATCCGAATTCTTGCTCCCTGCCGTCGCTACGAATTTCTTTAACGACATCCACTTCTTGGTCCAACTGCAGAAACCCTGTCTCATCAATTTGTTGTTCGATTTGTTGTTGGACGGCACAAACTCTTCCTTCAATTCGTTCCTCCACAGCCGAAAGTCTCCCTTCTATATGTTCTTTTACAGTAAGAAACTCTTTTTTTCTATTTCTTCTTTCACCGAAGAAACTCTTTCTTCTATTTGATCTTTTACGAGAAGAAACGTTTTCTTCAATTTGTCCAACTTTATTTTCAAACTGTGTCAATTCTGCCTTCCATAGCTTCAAATTTATTTTCTATTATGCAGGTAATATCTCTTTTCATTTCTTCTTGACATGCTTCAATCTTTTCTTGACCAGCTTGAACGGCTTTCATTTTGTCCTTAACGGATTCCTGGCCCAATTTCATTTCTTCCTTAACGGATTTGACGGCCCCTTCCATCTTTTCTTGGAAAGCAGCAAATGCAGTCATCATTTGCCTGAATTGTTCTTCCATCGCTCTTGTTATTGGCATTCAAATCCCACTTCTGACACCAAAAATTGTTGCGTGCGTACGGGTTCGTTATGAAATGAATGCACAAGTCCGATGAAAAAAAATGAACAAAAATTTATTATTATCACAACAAAAATGCTTAAATTTTCTCAAATTATCACGCAGTATTACAATATCTCACAGTAGTTTTTCTTTTAACTACTCAAATGTCCAATAGAACGTAATTCAAAACAGCTAAAGAACGCTAATCCACGAATTCGCTACAATCAACAACGGTAGTTTTTTTAAACAACAACAAACTAAGCAACTGCTACAAACTGAGATGTTTTCCTCCTTTTATAAGATTTTAAAATCACGCGCTAGAATTTTCCAGTACTTTCTCGAAATCAAAAAGAGATATTTATTTATTTAATGCACGCGCTCTTGTATTTTCAATTTTCCGGCTTAGCTTTCTTTTAATATTCGTCACGCGCTGCACTGCGCGAGAAATAAAACCAATTAATTTATAATTGAACTAATATTAGCTTTTTAAATACCAAATTCTTAACAGTATAATAATTGTATAATTGGTAATGTTTCTATTATTCATCGTAACATACACTGTAAAGTTTATGTGTGTACTGCATAATTAGTATTATAATGTATTGAAATTGCATAATTAGTACTCTAATGTATAATTGGTAATGTATGAATTGTATAAATCAGTATCGTAATATATAGTGCATGCTGCAAAATTAGTTTTTAAATGTATTATAATTGAATCATTAGTATCGTAACGTATTGTAAAAGTAGCATGTTAAAAAAGCCCCTGTATGGCCATGTACTTATATTTTTCTCATATATCAACAAACACTGGGACCCGGGCAGTTGGACGGCAGCGAACCCCATTGGCGGCTCTGGATAATGGCGGACGTGGTGCTGTACTGATTAACCATTAAGGTAAAGGGACAGTGCCCACGTCCTCCGTCACTTATCACTTATCATTAGGTTTATCGATGTAAGCGACGTTTAAACACGCTATGCTGCGATAGTTAACATATTCGTCTAACACACTTCCGATCCCGTATTTGACTCAAGAGAAGGCATACTTTTATTTCCCACTATTTACAGCATTTGATTTCCTCCTATTCCCTACAGTCTTCTAACAGCTTTGTAAACACGAATCGAAAATCTGATACTTGCACAGCAGAATAACCAAAAGAGCTTCTGTTTTCCATTATGAGTTAGTTGATTAATCAAACTTTTCCTGTTATACTTTGTAGTCACGTGTTCTCTTTGATAATATAAACTCTCTACTGGATCCTACTAAGGAACCCGGCGACTTCTCGCGCAGGCGTAAAGCAAACCAGCAGAGAAGAAGGGTAAAAATAAACCTTTATCAGTATTCAAACTCTGAACAGAAAAGACATATACTTCATGCTTACGATAACAGCGACAACTTGCTCTGGAACTTAAGAATCGTTTCACAATAAATTCAAGGCTAAAGAGTAGTGCTGGACTAATACTTTAAGTTAAGGCTAACTAGGTGGACTCAACAACCTACCCGAAGTGATAATTATTCAACGCCAAAAAGGCGTATCAGTAACTCCGCGTAACAGCACGGGCAGACTCGTAACGTGCGTGCGTTGGCTAGCGAAAACACGCCCTGAATAAACTCCAAGATTCACCCGTTTAAATACTCACTTCACTTAACTTTAAATTGCATCCTGGCGAGGAAATGCGAGGGGAACTTGAGGAGTTCAGAAAAAGATAACAAAAACTTAAATAATTGGTTAATTGAACTAAGGAAAACACTGCATCTTTTGATTAATAAATTAGGGAAACAGAGGTACAAGACAATCGAAACTTATCCTTTGAATTGCTATCAGTAAGATTTCCAGGCTTCGGCAAGGTAACCCTCGTATATTTTGCCTTAGGAATCTGCGGCGATGCCATACTATAGGAAGCTTATCTATTACGGTTCAAAAATAATATCATTAAGGTGGCCTCCGTTCTGGTCAATGCATTGAGATAGTCGTATCAGGACTTGTGCTCTCTTGACTTGCTTTGGAAACAAGAACTGTCCTGACTCGGAACAGGGAGCTTACTCAAGCTATGTTCAATAAATTGTGAAGTAGACAATACACACAGGAAGGGTATACGAAACCCTTTATTTTTCTATCTTTACAGAGATTTCCGGAACTTCGGAATACAGAGACTAACCACTTGTGGTCTGAACGTAGAATATAAAAACTACTAACTAAAACTACTTTGGATTAATATACAAGTGCCTAACTTTAAGATTGGCCGTTATTTAACAAAATCCGTATGTAGTACAGAGAGCTGCGAAAACTACAATACGTTTGAAATTATCAAGGGACTAAACCTCTGGCCTTGAAGGCAACCAGCAACCGAGTAAAACTACTATGGCAAGCGGCCTGCTTCTAATAACTCCTTCCTCTCTCTTGCTTGGCAAAAAGCCACAACTTAAGTACTTGGCGTTAGCAAGACAAATTTGCATAAATAAGTTAAAGCTTTTAATTCTGGCCGGAAGTAGAAAATAAGAAGTGATAGTAAAGATTTAAAATTAAATAAACTTTAGTAAAACTTAGTATCCTTACAGTCGAAGTTTGAAGTTTCTTTCCACTTTTACCAGCCTATCAACGGGTGTGTTGTCGGCAGCTTGGATATTGTTCTTCAGTTGAAACAGGGTCTTTGGACGTTAGAGATTTCAGATAGCCCCACAAAAAGGAATTACACGGGGCTAGATCAGGCGAGCGCGCTGACCACTGACGATCGCCGCGTAAGGAGGTAAGGCGTCCAGGGAAATGTTCTCCAAAAAACCATGGTCCATGATGCCTATTCTGGGCAATGCACACCAACAGTCACACGTTCTGTATGGAGGGGCTGCTCGTGAAATTCTTGGAGATTGGTGCCACTCATTTATCGCACGTTTTGCTTAATGCATGCTGCCCCCCGGGGGTCGTTGTAGAGTACTCTGCGCAGTACTGGCTAGGATCTGTACCTAGACAGTCTCGGCCACGGGGTTATAAAATTTATGAACTTGGCGGTTCCCGATGGTCCATGGGGTAAGTTTATACTTGCTCTTCATGGGCCGGGAGGTCTAAGTCTTTTCCACCAGGGTATTGGTAGCCAAATAGCAAACTGGAACATTGAGAGTCTGGTCACTGCTGTCCTTGGAATTCCATGTAAAGCCTAAGGAGAGGGGCATCCCGTGTAGTGCTGGCAGGTAGCCTCAATCAACGGCCAGTCATCGCTCCAAGTTGTCATCGCTCACCCCACCGTGGTCTCGGTCCAGCCGACACGGTGGTCTTGACTGGTCCGTGTTTAGCGGTGGGTCGACTGAACGTTGAGCGTTCAGCAGAGGGAGCTAAATGTGTTGGTGTCTCGGGAATGTGGGACCCCGGGCCCAGCAGGAGTGCTCTAGCCATCTTTAGGGTGGTCTCTGACTGATATTTCAGTCCCTGTAGTGCTATTAAGTTAGCGAGGCAGGTAGAAATTTAGTTAGTTAGTTAATGCATGCTGCAACTGGAAAGATTAAAATGAGCCTCATCGCTAAGGAACACAACGGTATCATGAGACATTGTCAAGAATGACTTTGCATGCATTTTTTCATGAAAGAAAATCGCGTGGCTTAAGTTTTTGCATCACTGCCAATTTATATGAATGAAAATGCAGTGCGTGAAAGGTACGACTCCACGGCAAACGCACGCTCCTCTCTCGTCCACTGCATGATCGGTACTAAACCTACATGACATAAAACGTTAGATACCGCTCTTTTCAATGAGCGCCACCCCTGCCTTCTCGGAATAAATGTCGCTAGATGGCGCGCGTTTCAAATAAGGAAGTTCCGCTGCCGCACCCTGCATAAACGTATACAAGAACAGCCCCGAACATAAATAGGAATCCATTTATACTTGTAACATAATTATAATATCCATTACCGTGTTTACCGTGTTTGTCCCACTGAAGACAAAAAGGTTTGAATTTTCTAACATTAAATATATAGTAGGTGAATTTATTCACCAACTTTTAGATAAAGGAAAAATAAATATTTCGTATGTCACTCTTAGATTTTTCTAAAGGATGATATATTATTTTTGATGAAAAGATAAACTATAATTCCTCACTTTTACATGTAATGAATTAATTTTAATTAATAATTAGTTAACTGACGTGGCAAACAAAAATATAAAATTTCTAAAGTAATCTCGTCAGACAGATCACGCTGGAAACAAAATCTTTATGGCGAAATTAAATTATTTACGCTTTAATTTAAAATGTGTCAATTAAAAGATCAGACTGCACGTTTTTCCTGTAGCTGAGTCATGTAACGCAGTCATTTTATGAATTATCATAATCAAACTGTAAAAAAATTAAGTTATGTTTCTTGTTACACTTTATTAAACGAATAATATATTCAGGGTTTCATTCTTTTTTAGTGATATGGAAGAGTTCAATGAAAACATGAAAGAAACAATATTTTTTAAACAAAATCAGCTGGAAAAAGACAGTTTCGATTCAAACAATTCATTTAACTCTGCTAACAATCGCTCATGTCCATTTGATACGACTAATAAAAATGAAAATTTTGAAAAGAAAAGCAATCTACATAATCAGAATGAAACTACTTTAGGCATACAAACAATGAATGTGCGTAAAAAAGCTTCAATCTTGACACAACTCAATGATCAGATGCCTGAAGCAGAGCGCAGGGATACAAATATGGAAAAAAAGAATAATGTGACTGATTTCTTTAGCAGTCAAAATTCATTTGAGGATACTAATGCTGGCAGCACCTACAGCAGGTTTAAAAGTGTTCTTTCAAACGAAGACATGAATAATCAAAGCGCATTAAGAGGTCCAACGGATGAAGAAAACTTACTTCATGAAAGTGAAGACGTTTTGGGAGACGAATCTGAGTTCCTAAACCGAGTTCCTAAGTGTGGCGTTGAAAAAACTGAGTGCTTTCGTAATAAGGTGTCAAAAGAAGGAACATCTGAAGACGGGAAACAGTTGCTAACCACTGACGAAACAGTTACACATTTAGATTATGCATCAAAAACCGCTGAAGAAAAGTCTGGTAACCCAAAGACTGAATCAAAGGATGGAGAAATGAAAGCAGAAAATGAACAGAAGAAAAAGAGCGTAGCGTTCAATATTTTATCCCTGAAGCAAACTGCCGTGAGTCAGGAGGATGAAAAAAAAGATAATCTTGGTATGGAACCTATGGGAACATTGTTACATGATTCTAAATCTCGAGAATCTCAATCAGATTGTAAGTAACTTCTTTCAGTATTTTCTTTTTACTGTAAAACTATGCAAGAGGTATCATTGCTAATAGCTAATTTAGTTTTCAAGATAAAGAGAAGTACTGATTTCATTTGAAACCATTTCACATTATTTAAATTATCATTTCCCGAAATGTACAACCCCTCGAGCGTTTCATTATCAAAAATGAGATGACTGGAAAAAAAAAAAAAAAAAGATTTTATAGTTGAATTTTGCAGCGCTGCAAGGAACTTTTATTCAAGTACGTTTATATTTCCGGGAATATAGTATCCAAATAATAATTTAATATGAAATGAGATATTATAATATGGTATATGTGATATATAAAACTTCAATACAATTAAGAGCTACTTTTCGCTCTTTCATGAATATTTTTAGTGTTTCGTGCAGTTCGCGAATTTTTGAAAAGGAATAATTTACAAATCGCTGACCATGACAATTTACAGCTCATAAATATTAAACCTAACATAAACGAAATACTACATTATTTTATTGACCATGTGCTAATTAATAACTAAATGTGTTGTTAAATAAAAGTTTCTTTCTTCGTACGATCTACAAGTTACCTATAACTCATTATGCCTTAACCTTGACGTTTATTATCTTCGAAAAGGTTTGAAATTGCAAATCTTGAAAAGTTATTCAAGATTTTCTATAAAATTTCCTGAAAAATAAACATCGTAAGGGGAAAAGGAAAGGCGTTTGGGATGACTTAGTCCTGTGAAGTAGTATAAAAAATAGTCGGAAAAACTGAAAATCAAATATTCCTGGTCTCAATTAGAAAAAGTCCTTAAATTTGTAAATTGTTTTTATGTCTATCTAATTAAATCGAAATCAAGCCGTAAGTACTTCAAATAAATATCAAAACGTACCTACGTTTCTAAAAGGCTAAAAAAAAAAAAAAAGTACCATTTATATTACAAATTCCACAACTTTAGCATACACAGTTTTAAGGAGTATATTATATTTAAATAAAAAACAAAATATGTCTTGTATTGCTGTTTGCTATTTTTCAATCTGATGAATTTTAGCGACACAGTTCACTAGCCGCAACTGTTTATGAAAAACAAATTGCAAAACTAAAAGATTAAAAAAAGTGAGAAATTTAAAGCGCTTTAGAGTCAGATAAGAAATCCACTTCCTTTTTATCGCAAAGTATTTGTTTTTAAATACTATCTGCCATCACCGCAAGATAAAGATTTCTTTCATCTCTCTTTGACTGAATTATGCACTCTTACGAGCGTTCCCTCCTTTTCAAATGCAGTCTCATTCGAGTTCTCTATCCATATGTTTCTCCTTTTCCACAATTTTTACAGTTAAAATAACTTTAGAAACTATTGCTAAAGACGATGCTGCAAATAATTCGGAATGGCAACCCAAAAAACTGAACGTAAAATTAATTAACCGAGTTGGAGATAATGAGTATATTTTGAAACGGAAAAGAATATGGGATATTTTCTCAACATTGGATTGCACAAAATATTGCCGAATCTAAGAAAGCTTCTGAATTCGGTGAATGAGAAAAAATGTTAATTTATTCCATTGAAATATTGTGTATACCAACTGTGATAATTTTATCAAACCTTCCAAAACTCTCGCTGGAGAATTAAAATTTTAAATAAATATATTAATTCCAATATCCATAGTAAAAGTTTTTTTCAACACAAATGTTAAGCCATTTTAGTGAAATAAATCTAAAGCATTCCAAAAAATTTATGTAGTAGCAACTCATTATTTTAAATCTAAATTATAGTCTAATTTAGTTAAATGTCATTTACTTTAAAAATAATACATGTCAAGAACTTTTGGGGCGGTTTTTACAATCGCCTGCTGTTTAGAAAAACGCCGTTATGCATAGAAAAATATTCAAAATTTTTAAAATATGCGATATCGCTGAAAATATATTAATTTTTAGTTGAAAACGTCGTTTTTCAAGATAGCAGGCGACTGTAAATAAATATATTTTCTGCGAATATAAAATAGTAAATTATGGCTAAAGTGCAGAATCGCCCACTTATTTGTTTGGCGCTTTTTACCAAGAGAAGAAGATTGGATGGTTTTTAGATTATGGTAATTTGGCGATTTTTGGCGAAAATTTGGCGACCAACCCTGCTACAGCACCTGCTAGTTGGTTTGGACAAGAACCCATTTTTTTTTTTTTTTTTTTTTTTTTTTTTTTTTACTCAACATTTTTTTTTTTCAACAATCTGCTAGCCGAATTACGCTTATGCTAGAACTTTTATGGAACAAAATTGCTTAATCATGACGAAGATTAGGTGCGAAATTGGGAGAAAATGCAGAATCGTTAACTGCTTGCCGCGTTTTTAAGAATTGCACATACACGGTATCCATGTTAAACTGCTAAAGTCCTAGCTAGCAACCTTTATCGCCTTACCAAAATGTCGCCAAACTACCTGTTACCATATTCCAAAGATTAGCCTTGGATTTTTGTCAATTTTCTTTGACTTTTTTAAGTGAAAATAGGTCGATGTGTACATGGATAAAGTCAAGGGAGTGCGCAATGCCATTTTTGTGCAATTCTGGGATTTTTTTAAGTGAAAATAGGTCGATGTGTACATGGATACCGAGTATGTTTAATTCTTAAAAACGCGCCAAGCAGTGGGTGATTCTGCACTTTTCCCTAAATTATTACTTTTATAGCAAAGAAATAGAATAAAAACATCGCGCCAACGTTTAATCAGTTTAAAATATTACTTGAACTGAAACACTTCAAAAGAAAGTAATTTTATACAACATAATTATTTAAGTGCAAACCATCTGAGGCAATAGAAAATAGCACAGCAAGTGTTGAAAATAATTATTAATATTTTTTAGAAAAAATGAAGTCTATATATTTAAAGTATAAATATGTACTTACGTTTTTGTCGAGTGTTTAACTTTTGACCATATATTGGTAAGTACCACCATTAAAAAAAAATCAGAATTATAATTTAGATTTCAATGAAAACAGATTCCAAAATCGCGCTGCAACGGAGATACAAGCCTGGATAGAAACTCTTAATGGCAGTAATATCACCTTCCTCAGGGAACTTAAAAACTTCCTTAAATCACCTACCTTCATTAGTCGATTTGAGTAAAGTTCCATACTCTGTGAATTTACCATCCTTTGAGCAGTAATCTTTATTCTCAGAACCCTTAGCTCTTTCAATATGAGCACCTGAAAAGCAGACCTTGACATTATTATAGTACGTCCAGTTTTTATATGCCAACTAACACTGAAAATGTTCGCGACCCGTAGTCGAACATTTCTCACAGCCGATAATAAGATACTCATCCGTTTTTGGTGCAAACTTAAGCTCATTTTCAATATCAAACGAAGTAAAACACCAGTATTTACTCTTAAACCTTTTCGGAGCAGCCTTCTTTTCGGACGTCAAACGCAAAATAATCGCCAATCGAACGTATAACGGGAAAAATTTAGCGCGTTATTCTATAACCAATCAGCGAGCCAATACATTGACAGCATTAAAATTATTTAAATAATCATAAATAATAAAACCTTTCAAATAAAATTACAAAATTAAACCGATTTTCAATATTTAACAGCCATAAATAATATTTAAAACACAGAATCTATACATATTCAAACACATTATTTTTAAAATAAAATGACGTCAAGCCCCACAGCAGACGAACTAGGGTTACCATAAATCAATGTTCCAGTAATGGGTGCCATCGTACCAAAAGCTGTGCTGGTTTTATTTTTAAATTTATTTAATGTTCTGATTTATTGTCTTCCTCACATTTTCTTTTTTTTCATTAAATTTTGATACCCAGACAGTTTTTTTTTTTTTTCCCTGTTTTTGTTCCGACATCTGAGGAAAAATAAAAACAGAAAAGTAGAAGTAAAGCTAAAAGTAGAAAATAACTATTATAAGAACTATTGCGTAAATCACTTCTTCTTCAAAGCACTCGAAAAGTCACTGTTTGAAATATTTTACCTTACTTCTGTGAAAACTGAGTATATCTTAAACCATTGCTTGGAAAATATATGAACTATTAGATCAATACCAAATAATTCAAGGTGGTAATCTTTTGTTTAAAGTAAATAAATCAAATTTAAAGTTTCTATTTAAGACGTAATGAAATAACGAAATATTTTTTCGTATCGCTAAAAATCGGAAAGGGGCCAATTTTTATTTTAGTATATCTTGTCTATTTTTACTTCACTTTAAATGTCAAATGTCAAATAGGTATATTTTAAATTCAGTGGTACTCCATAAATATGTCAATCCTTTCTTCTGGAAAGATAATATTTTTTAGTTTAATAAACAAATGGTTCATGTAAAAAAACATTTTTCGAGTAATTAAATTTCAAATCGTCACTTTTTCTGAATTAGAAAGCTAACCTAAATTTATCTTAATATGTAACTGCACTTTCATTTTTCTATGTAGAATAACAATAACAACAAGCAGTCACCAAAAAAAATCGGGAAAAAATATAAATGGTGCACAAATTACTGCGACTGCAATAGTAGACACCAAATAAGGATTAAGCAATTTGTCGAACGCGTCTGCGGCGCAGACCTCTACCCTTACATACGCATCGGCATCGCGTATTTTCGTTCACATATATTTACAAGATTAGCTCAACTTATGTCAAAAACTGCAAAAAGCAATAACTGATAAAAATCAAACCCATATAAATCGCCGGTTGAAAATCTAAGCTATATCGTTGTCAACAACATAGCGGTGTGCAGAAAAGAATTTTGGATATATCCCTAGATATCAGCCCTAGAGCATCTTTCATCATCAAAGAAAGCATGTTACAAGTAGTACCTATAGCATTCAAACAATAAACCGAGTATACTTTCGTAATTTGTACTGAAAATACGAAATACTTCCAAAACTGAATCCAACTAATTTAAATAAAAACTATGGTACAAACAAACAAACAAAATATAATACATTCATTACTGTATTATACACAATTAATTTCAATTAGATTCACAATATCAAGAAGAACCATTTAATTTAGAAAAAAGATAAACTAAGACAATAATAAACTGCCAAATAAAACTTCTTCATATGAATTCAGAATTAAGAACCAATAACTTTGATAACTGAACAATATTATCATAAAATACACTGAACCTGAAATATTATTACAATACAAAACATAAATTTGGTTTAAAAACAAAACCACTCCAAGTAATATAAAAACTCTACATCAGGTTTGCTGGCAACGCGATAGAAATACAGTACAAGAATAATGCCAACATAAAGATATGAAAAATTTCAAATTCAAAAACCAAATGCACTCAAAAATAGGTCAAAGAAAATTATTATAAAATACTGCCTTAAATGCACATTTTACAATGGAGAATTCAAGTAAAACCAATCAAATTCACAAAAACAGGTCAACTATTTAATTCAAAAAAGTGCAAAAAGGTATACAAAATAATTATCCTAGATTAGGTTTGCTGGCATCGCTAAGACAAATGCTATACTAGAAAAATGCCGACATAAAATTTTACAGAATTTCAAAATCAAATACAAAATGCGTTCAAGATTAAAGCAAAGAAAATTAATATAAAATAACTAACAAGAATGCAAATTTTTATAATAGAATGCACAATTAATGCCTATCAAATTCACCAAAGCGAATCAATTCAATTAAAAAAGGAATGCATTAAAAGTATGCAAAATAATTAAAATTGTCACAAAAATTTTCTGTTAAATTTAATTAACAATTGCAAAAACTGAAACAAAATAATCATGATATATATATGATTAAGAACGATTTCAGTACCATACAACAAATACTATGTGCGTCACAAATAAAACCGACTATTTGTACAATATAAGAAAGTAATAGGCTACAAGTAACCATTACAATTTATAAGAGCATAGATCTTACAGGTGACAGTGCGATTTAGCTCAGTTTCTCTCCCATTTGATGGAGAGCACCCCTGGGGGTGAACGGGTCCCAGCGTCTCGTAACCCTCTTCCCCTACCACTAACCTCTCGAAAGGACTTTCGGCTCGCCGCATATTTAGAGTGCCCCCATGTCGCATGGACAGGTAAAGGTAAAGGTAAAAGTATGGGGGACACCAGCGATGTACCATAGGTCAACTGGTAATGCCTTCCCATACTAACTCTTTGAGAGAAAAAAAAAGGGGGGGTAATTACAAGTTTTATAAGAATTTGCATAAATTGAAGCTTTTCAAAAGGTTTAAAGTTTGCCTATTATGGTACATCGTGCAGTTCCACAGTACGCCCCGCATCCAGTATTTATTAAAAATAATGGTGTAGGGCCTATACATTTACAAACATCCACGTCTTCTCTGGCATTCGAACCGGCACGGCAGTCAGCAACGCTAACCATTATACCGGTTGCGCGGCCTTTTGTAACTTAATTATATGTATAATTCTTCAATAAATACGTTTGAGTGAGGGTTTTAACAAAGCACAAAATGTCTAAATATTTAGACAAGTTAAAAGATAAAATGCAATTTTTTTGCTTTTTCATGTTATTAGGTTAATAATGCTTCATTTTAAGTGTTAACCATAAGCAATTTACCTTTAATGTCGACACTGCATAAAGGCGCTCACTAGACATTTGCACGACGGCGCCGATTAGGCTTGGCGCGGGATTTAATTTTTGTTTCAAATCAATAGAAATAAATTTTGAATTTGTCTTTAGCCAATAAAAAGTTATTGGTTGCGACAGGATTGCTATACAATTAGGCGCTATAAAGTTGTTTAATCGAAAAACTAAGCGAAAACAAATACACTGGTGTGCAAAAATTAAGGACGAGACGGTTTTTTTCAATATAACTTTGTACAAAAGCTTTCCAAATCAACACATTTAATACCGTAAGATCCTCAATACGTAAGGACATGAGTAATGTAAGCAACACTTACTAAAAGATAAATCAGAGGGATAAAAAGAAGCTTTATTGAAAAAGTAGCATGGAGCGCAATGCGACTGAAGGCCGAAACATCCCTGTGATGGGTGTCCAGCAAGAAACATCCGGTCTTTAATAGGGGATATGATCTCCCCTGACTGCTAAGCAGGTTTCACAGCGTCCGCCCATGCTGAGAATGAGGGTGTCAATGAGTTGTTGAGGCATTGCTGCCCATTCGTCTTGCAGCGCCAATCGAAGCTCCGGAATCGTTACTGGTGGTAAGGTAGGAGCTGCCAAGCGTCTGCCTAGAAAATCCCATACATGCTCGATGGGATTGAGATCCGGAGATCGTGCCGGCCAATCCATACGTTCAATATCCTCACTCTCTAAGAGCTGTTCGGCAGCTACTGTGCGATGACATGATGCATTGTCGTCCATGAAAAGGAACTGTGCACCCATAGCGTCTCTAAAAAGACGCACATATGGAAGAAGAATCTCTTACAATAACGGGTCCCGTTGACTGAACCTGCGTCGAAGATGTGAAGGTCTGTACGACTACCAAGCATGATGCCTCCCCAAACGAGAACACCGCCACCTCCATACCTGTCCCTTTTAATGATGTTCGAGGGATGATTGCGGCTTCCCCGCTCTCTCCAGATGAGTATGCGATGAGAATCGCTACTCAGACTGAATCTGCTCTCATCTGTAAAGAGTACTCGTCCCCATTCATTGTCTCTCCAATTCCGGTGTTCCCGGCACCGCAGAGAACGCCTTCTCCGATGGGCAGGCGTTAGAGGTACACACCGTACAGGGCGTCGTGCAAACAGACCACCACCGTGCAGTCTTCTGGTCACGGTAAAATGCGATATCGGTCGTCCATTCGCCTGTGTCGTGTGTCTAGCGATTTCTCCCGCTGTCTGCCGCCTGTTTCTTCTGGCCTGTAAGGCAATATACCGGTCATCTGCGGGTGTGGTTCCTCGTGGACGACCACTACTAAACCCCCGGATAGCTGTTCCTGTAGTTTGAAATTGTCTCCAAAGTCGTGAAACGATGCTGTGAGCAATTCCGAACTCTGCAACAACACTTGTCACACTGCGGCCTTCCTCCAACTTCCCAATGATTCGACCTCGGGTAAAAGCATCCAGATGTCGTCTAACAGATTGATTATTCGCCATTTCTCGCTGAGGCAGCAACTCGGTGTGATTTTAACTGCTATACGGCGTGCAATCTCTTTGCCAGAAATACTGATCTTACACCGACAACATGCTTTATACTACTCAGACACTCCCTCATTACGTCTACCTGCATATCAGCGCATGTGCTACCGTACATCACCTTACTTAATCTCCTGATTGGTCTTTCTGTCCGCTCTGCCTCTTCGTTCAGCTGATATGCTAATTTTTCGACTTCGTCCTTAATTTTTGCACATCAGTGTAATTCAAAGTATAATTTTAAAAATAACCTAGCTACAGAATATTTAGCCTTTGCGCTCAGAAAGAAAAACAAAGGAAAATTCCAGCTATAGTTCTGAATGTTTTTCTCTTTATTATTACTATTGGTACTGTTACACCACGTGTACGCAGATTTAAATTATATAAATTTTAAAATAATTTCTTCCTCTGAGATTCGTAATGTGATATTTACAACACCAAATAGTTATTTTTTCAGGCTAAGTCATTATCACTTATCAACTTTCAGGCCAAGTCACTATCAATATTATCTACAAGAACTTTAACCAAGTAGATTTATGAAGCTGAATAAGAATTAACTGAACTCTTAAAATTTTTTTCTTTCTTTCTGCAGTGACGGCAGCACTACGCTTCATGACTGAAGCTTATCCTTCTAGAGGTAAGAAGAAATTAATTCCCAACACTAATTTCTCATCTTATGACTAAAAGAACTAAATCCTAATGGAAATATTATCCACTGGTTTTATTAGCTGCGCTAATAAATGCCTCTAATGCATCACGATTTCTTTGCAAAGAAAAAGTACGGAATGATAAGTACTCTTATTGCGGAAATGTTATTTTCGTCCAATTTCATTATGTACTTTTTATTACTGAAATATAATTTTAATATTATTCTTAAAGCTAAGATAGACATCACATTAAAACTTCGTTAAACTCATGAAACAAATATTATAGGTATTTACACTTCCGATTCGATAACTACGATGCTTTCGAATAATTTGGAAATAGACAGAAAATTTACTTCAATTCACCTAAAGCTAGAAGGATTTTCATCAAATTCGCTTAAGCACCCGTTACGAAATGTCACTTTAATATATCATGTTAATCTAGTTTAACTTTATTTACAGAATCATAGATCTATGATTTTTTTTTTTTTTTTTTTTTTTTTTTTTTTTTTTTAATGGCCGAGAGCTTTACAGTAAGACCCCGCTTAACGCTGTTTCGGTTTAGCGCTCTTTTATTTCAACCCGGGGATTCCACGAAATCGCTCTCAGCATACGGGGATTCCCCGAAATATTATGCAGCGATAGGTTTCAAATACATATCCGAAAGAGTGTACTTGTATTTCTTGTTTGGTGCGGTATTGTACAGACATATTTTGAAGGGGTAAATGTGGAAGATGTCGAAGAAATAATTCAAGAAGCAGCGCGGCTAGTCTTTCTAATGATGAGCTCAAGGAATTAACTGAACAAGAAGAAAACAAAAATGTTGACAGCAGTGATTCAGAAGAAGAGCAAAAAGAACTTTCGATGGCGTTTGTAAAAAAGGAGTTTGTCTACCATAACTGAAATAATGGATCAATTCATTGAAAATGATCCGAATTTTGACAGGAGCTCAAAAGTAAGGCGTGGTGTTAGAGATGCTCTATCCGTTTATGAAGAACTTTTAAGAGAACAACGCAAAAGAAAAAGGCAAACAACATTAGATGCTTTTGTCACAAAAAGGCAGAACACTGAAAACGCGGAAGGCTAACTAAATATGACTGACTGAGAATTTTATTTGTTTTTTTTTAAGAATATTCGTTTTGTTATTTTATATTTGTTTTTTATTTTTGCAAGAAATAATAATGTGGTATTAATTTGGGCTTTAAGAAAAAATGTTTGGTTTTTATTTTTATTAAAAAAACATACTTTTTAAATTTAATACCTAACCAATTTCCTAGCCATCTTCCCCTAACCCCAATATTTACATGTAAAGATAGCCTCGTTTAGCGCTGTTTCGCATTACGCTCTACTTTGATGGAACGTATCCCCCGCGTTAAGCGGGGTCTTACTGTATTTAATAGACATTAGGATTGCGCCACTACAAGGGCCAGAAGTGGTGGCCATTTCATTCTGGAAGCACCTAATAGATGGCCAACGTTGCCTCCTATGAAGGGGACAAACAGTTACAACCATGCCTTCTCCCGGATGCATATAAGCAAAATGTACACTGCTAGGACAACGGCTTGAGTTTGGCCAATGACAATCCAGATAAGGGTCACCATTAACTCCGCCCACATGAGTGATGTCACATTTCTGACGTTTGTTTACATTCTGCTGTTCGGCGTTAAGAAGTGCGTTGTTCGAATGAAAAACATTTTTAATCTGTAATATACATTTGCTCTAGTGATGCTATTTTTTAAAATTTTCTTTAAAGTATTATTTCTTACTGTTCCAGAAGGAATATAAATTTATGTCACAAACTTTACAACATTTTTTTCTATATGCGTGTGTGTGTATATATACGTGCATGTGTATACACACACATACATATATTTTCAATATATAATCATATGTGAATTATATGTTTCATTATATGTGTGTGTGTGCATATAAATATGAGTGAGTGTGCGTATGCATGTATTCATTTTTCAGGATGTCAGATTTCTAGCGAATAATCTAGAAAGCTTTTTTCTCTTAATTTTTCACATCTTCACATTCAGTTTTTTTAAATAATTAAGATGAATGTATTCATATTTAATATTTCTTCACAACTTGATTTATCCCTTAAAAATACATTTATTTAATTTTGTATAAGGTGGGATGTGAATTCCAGCAACATTTTTAATAGTAGAATAATTTCTCTAAAGAAGCTTTTGTTTGTTTTATTTTTTAATTCCTTTAAAAAATTACTTAATAATATTAGAAATAATTAATCTATTACTTCTTACACACGTCTTAAATATGTTAATGGAAATTTTCATTCAATAGCTTTATAAATTTATTTTATGCAGTATTTTAATTTAATAAGAACTAGTATTGATAAATGAATTTCCATTGCTTTCCTTATACATTTAGTTTAGAATTCAGTTTTCAGTGCATGTAATTATTCTCCTTTATGGCCCTCCACGCACAGCCCAAAAGCGGCTGACTGGAACTCTGATAGTTCAATCTGAGTTTGCTTCCAGGTGGATAGGCTGGCTGCATGAACACTTACCTTGTTTTCCACATGTGTAAACATGGATATGAGTGTTTTTTTTTTCCTTAGAAAATCCTCCACAAAGACATCCCTCCCACATAGACCCTTGCATGCTTTCAGTAATCAAATAAAAATTGTCATCATACACACTAAATCAAACTCGAAAGTTTTATTAATTATGCTTACAGAAACGAAGTACTTAATACCAGATTTTGTTGATTAATTTGCATTTTTAGAAATAGTTAAATAAATTTCTTACCTTTAATAAATAGAGCGAACCCTCTCTAAAATGACCACCAGCAGTTCTATATGGTTTTAATTTTGTGTAGAGCTTGTCATCTCAAAGAAAAGATGCTCAGTACCAGAATTTTTTGTATATTGAGGAGAAGTGTCAGTTTCAGAGGTGATCACAAAGAAGAAATTTGCCATATTAAAATGATAATCTGTTCCTAACTTTTTCGCAGGGTTTGGTTTATGTGATTATGGCGACGCCTCGAGGGCTATCTGCCTAAGGAGAGGGATGCCTTTGTGGAGGACTTTCTAAGGGAAACTTGTTTGTATACACGTTACGCATGAGGAAAACCATGAAAACGTCCATGCAGCCAGCCTGTTCGCTGGATTCGAACCTCAGACCGAACTGCCAGTGTTCACGCCGCTGGTCGGCACCTTTTTTTGCAGGGAAGGAAGTATTTTCTAAGTGTAGGACATAACATAATGGTCCCCATTAAGATTTGATCTAGGAAATGAATAATGTTGAAGCTGAAATTAAAATTATATAAATTTGAATGCCATGCATGTAATGCGAATCTCAAATTTAGTTCCCTGCGATGTTATTTTTTTAATGTAAAGATCAGGCTTTGGACATTCTTCAGTATGTATTTACTTTTGTTTTTGACTTTTACCCTTGCCTGCATGAATGACGAATTGAATGATTGTGGAGTTAGGTTTGGAGGCAACTTCCCCTTAATAAGTCTGTCTCCTGCCTGCTCATTTTTTAAAACTTACTTATGCATTTTTTAAAAAATTTTTAGATTAATTTTAATTTGCTAAATTGGTGAATTTATTTTCATGGTTTGGTTTTGCACTTGATTTACTTATGCTATCTGAATTTAAATGATATTGTACATTAGTTCGAAAATTAAATCTTCTATATGTTTGCACTTTTTTTTAAATTATTTTAACTTTAAATTTGCTTTTTACGTATGTACATGAATTTTAAATATAGCATGAAGTTTTATATTTAAGTATAATACTGAAAAATGTTAGACATATGAGAAAATAAATATATGTTTTCTTCACATATTATGGAATATTCATTCCTGACTTAAGGGAATACGAAGTTACACAATTTCAAATCCACTAGAAAAATGTATGATAGTCACAAGTTTCACAAAAGATTCTTTGTTCAAATAATAAAAGGCTTTGGAGAACATAGATGCTAATTAGAAATGTGTGCTAAATATGAGGCCATTGCCATCCACATAAATGCACTGCATTAATTTTAATACTGTTTAGGTTCTTGCGCATTATCCCTTTGACTGGCCCAAGTAGCATGATTTAGTGCCAATTATGGATGACTGTGCCCTTTAGTAATTCCATAGAAATAATTGGCGCTTGGTTACCATAGCCCAAATTTCCACAAACGATCGGTGAGATAATACATAAGTATCCTATTTTATACTGACATGAATGAAAACTAAATTTTTTATCATATATCTTTCTACTAAAAACAATTTTGGGTCCTTGGTTTGGTTTGGTTTATTTAATTATGCAAAGCACTCGCGTGCTATCTGCTTAAAAGGAGGGATGCTTTCGTGGAGGACTTTCAAAGGGAAACTGGCTCTTATACACATTACACCTGAGGAAAACCATGCAGCCAGCGTATTTGGCAGGGTTTGAAACCTGGACTGAATTGCTAGCCAGAAATTCAGCGACTTTACCACTCGGGTGCTGGTTGTCTGGCCATTGGTGCTATTAAACTAAAATTCTTCTATATTTATAAAGGGCCCATCAGAAAAATGCACACACTTTAATTAATAAAAGAAAATTCTTGTGCTTTAGTATTGAACTTAATTAGAAGTTAATTAAATCATACAAAGATTAGCCTAGGTTTAATATAATATTCCTGAATATGTACCTATACAGTTACTTAGATTGCTCAAAGTTTGGTTTCATTTTAGTTTAGTATGGCAAAGCACACTAGGGCTATCTGCCTGTGGAAAGTGATGCCTTTGTGGAGGACTTTCTAAAGGAAACTGGCTGGTATACACATTACAAATGAGGAAAAACACGAAAACGCCTATTAAGCCAGACAATTTGCCTGGATTCGAACTCAGTGTTCAAAGATTTTGACACTCTGCCACTGATGGGCCTATGCACGTGTGTATATACACACATGTACATGGATACATACATACATTTCTGAATCTGGTCCCGAAAATAGAATAGTACCTTTTAACTTTACAGTTTAATCTTATAGTGTTTTGATTAATTTTACGTACTGCCATCAATAATACATCAGCAATGCATCTTATTATCATTAATTTCTTACTAACAATTCAATTTCAATTGCCATGAGTTGATTCCTGACTCATACATATCTTATATATATATATAAATTAGTTGTTTCAATACAAAGATCACAATATAAGTTGCATAGCATATTTAGAATAATTATTTATTACTCATATATATAATGTATAAAATCAAGCAGTAAATTGTAAAAAAATAATTTTAATGAATTTGGAAATAAATGAAAATATAATAATCTGCATCTCATCAGATTTTTTAAATGCACAAACTTCACAGTCAAAAATACATATTAATGTAAGAAAATCAATATTAAATGCTTTTTCTCAAAAAAAAAAAAAAAAAAAAAAAAAAAAAAAAAAAAATGTCGGTACAAGACATATTTTATCGAGTCCAATCATCAGTGGAACTGCAGGTAATCAGTCTTATGTCAAAATGTAAAATTTGAAATGTTACTTTAAGCTAAATTTTTTTAATCCATTCAGTTTTGGCTTATGTAAATTTTACTGTATTTAACTAGATGTAAAGAACTATAAACACACATTCAAGCAATTCCCTTGAAGGTGTTTTTCCTGGAAATAAAAGTATACTTATTGGATTCAATTCAGCATTACACCTTAGAACAGGTGTGATTCAGCATTATACCTCATTGTTAAGCATTTTCGATAGTCTTGAAATATCATAACTGGTAACATATCTTACTAAATTCAATTCTTGCTATGTTCAGCATTATTTAGCATTTGCAGCTTAGATTTCAGTAGGTCTATTACACTAAGCACTTACAGTTATTCAGTATTATTTTCTTTGCATTTCAGCAAACAATGAACTTCCTTTCTAAGAATGCATACTGAGCAATGAAAATTCCAAATATGGTATATGCTTTACCAGAACCAGAACCCCGTCAGTTAATAGTGATTTAATCTTCACAGATAAGCATATACAGTAGTCTTGAAATATCAGAGCTGGTAGCATATATTAAATATATTCAGTTCTTATTAAATAACGTGTTCTTCATTTAACTTCAGTAGTTTCACAGCTAAATTACACTTCAGTATCTTCATTAGAGTGAACCCACTTTTTCATCTTTATACTCTTTACGTTCTAATAATAAAATGAAGTTTATTTCTAAGAAAGCATACTGAATCCAGTAAAGAAATCAAATCACAGTTAATAATGCTGTAAATATTCGGATAGATATATATAAAGTGTATTTTAAGGATTTCTTGACACACACTATGTTAATTCATTGCAATGGTAGTTGGTGGCATTTTGATTCAAAATATTTACTACATTAATTACTGACACAAATTAGCATTTGGTTTCACTAACTTAACATTAACTTTACTTGGTTTAATTCACGCAGGTACATTTTATATATCAGATGATTTAAGTCATTATCACTTAAAAGTTTCTGATTATCAATATGCAGAATAATTTGTAAACCACACTTTACATGCATCTTCCAGCCATCAATAACTTCCATCTGACAAGATCTAATTTTCTATTGGAACAGTAGAGTAATCCTTAATATTCCAAAACAAACATTAAATCATTATATACAGATATATACGCATATATATAAACACTTTCATTACGAAAAACCAAATGTACATTCAAAGAACACACTGCGTAACTTCGATGAGCGGAATGTAAACAAATGTCAGAAATGTGACATCACTCATGTGGGCGGAGTTAATGGTGACCTCATATGGACTGTCATTGGCCAAATTCAAGCCGTTGTTCTAGCAGTGTACATTTTGCTTATATGCCTCCCGGATTCGAGGCCGGGCCCATTGCAACTGCAGTCTAGGTCGCTAGCCTCTATAACGGCTGGGCAGCACAACGATGAATGTGTGTGTGGCGGTGGGGGGGGGGGGACAATAAAGTGTCAGAAGCCTGCTCAAGACACTCTAAAGTTTGGAAATGCTACGTGATGACTTAAATGGAGACTTTTATTGTAAACAGATTGTGGAATCAGTTTTTAAGACTTGAGACACCTGTACAGTAACAACTTGAAGAGAAAGCAGAATGTCTTCTCGATTATAATTTCTCGTAACTACTATTGGAGTATTTATATGAGCTCTTAGTTAACGTAGAAGAATTATGACGAAGACACCTATCCTAGGTTATCATTGCACAACTCTTAATTCATATGAATATAGATATGAGTTGAATTAAATTTTCAGTCGTGTACAACGAACCTAAAACCAAAGACAGTGCGTAACTCTTCACAAATTAATACAGACGTCGGTTAAAAGTGTTATTTGATATGCAGAAAATCGGGTAATTGTTATATAATGTATTTCAAAAAGACCATTGCCACAAAATTTATGTTTTTATTGTGAATGGCAATCCTTTAAGTAAAGACATAGAACCGCAGTCGTAAATACCAGCAGATGCAAATGAAGAAATTATATTGAAAAAAAACTGGTATGTTATTCAGAAAAAGTCCGATTTTGTGTCAAAATGCCTATATTAGAAGAATGCTATATATAAATCTAATACATAGTTTAAGTCGCGCTTTCGAGACATGAAAGACGCAAGTTGAATTTCGTCAATCGCCCAGTAGAACGGGAGATATAAAATACCAGCCCCCCTCTTTTTTTTTTTTTTTTTTTTTTTTTTTTTTTTTTTTTTTTCCCGCAGTGTACATATTCATATAACAAAGCATAAATCATAAAACAGAAATTTTTGTGAAGGCAGCAAATAGGAAAGGTTCTTTTATTTTCTTTAATAGATCAAATAATAGAAACAACCAAATAAATGCGAAGAAAATCGGTAAAAATATACCATATTTAATCAAAATGTCCATAATAATGATAAAATAAGATTACTTGACCTCCAAAATAACTTCCTATGCGAATTTATTCCTGTTTCATGTTTGATTTTGAACATAAGCTTTGCAGACAATAACAGTATACCCAGTACTCAGTACTGTGCAACAGTTATGTGAATACACCGTATAGTATTGTAATTCATGTTTCAAACATTTGCCTTAATTACCCTGAAAGAAATCTTATCACATCGGAAAAAAAGAATAAAAACAAAATCAAATCTCTTCACGAAATTTTAAATATTTTTATGCAAGTAACACATTTTTTAGGAAATTTGGAAATTTCGTTGGGTAGTTAAGAAGCAAATTGAATCTGAAATACTGTATTTACCTTTTCTGGAAATTAAACTTTTACTGTTATTGATAATAAAAACCATTTTATAATTAGTTATTGTAAAATCTTTTAGGATAAACATGTTTAATTAGTTTTATAAAGTAAGAAGTAATTAATAAAAAAAAGAAACTATTTTTTTGTCCGAATATACACAAATATTTACAGAAATAGTGATGTACTTCAAGCTTCCTCAACCACTGAACCGCAGTCCTCTCCGACATGTTTGCAGAAATCTTATAGAATTGGAAAGCGGTTGTGTAATTTCAATCTCTGATTGTTTTCACTTTGAATCGTTAATTAAAAATTATTTTTTGCCAGATGGTAATGAAGGATTCACTGATACGTTGGATGGTATTAAAGATTCCAGTACTTTTCATTTACCTGAGAAAGACAGTCCTCCCGAAGTTGTAGTATATGAAGAAATTCGCCCGATCCAAGATGTCACAGGTAATGATGGCATGCTAATTACAGTGACAGAAAAATCGGACAATTTAGAATCGTCATCGAAAGGAAACAAAAGTAAGGATTTTCATCTGTACGAACTTGTTGAGTTTAATTCTTAGATTTCTGCTTTTCTTGCTGTTTCTTCATTTCAAATTTATAGTTATTTTTCCTTGGCATGTATAAAACCATTTGAGTTCAAGAATTTATTTTAACCTTTGGCTTAATGACTAGTTACAGAGAAACATAACTTAAACCTCATAACATCACATAATTTAATAAAATATCTATACGCATATGACTGGTATTCCTTTTCAAATTTTCCGCAGTTCACAAAATCGTTACGAAAGTCTGAAATTACCCGTAAACTGTTGATTTTGTACTTTGTTCTCGCAAGGATTTATGAACTGCAAAATTATTTTATTCCGTTTAATTTCCCTGCTTTAAAAATTTGCACACTTTGCTGGCAACACTGAAACACCTAAATTTCTAAAATATACTCTGTATTGTCTAATAAAAGAAATTTTTGCAGGATTTGTATTAGCTTGAACAACTTCAAACAATAGTCACACAAGCGACCTATTGCTCTGCCAAATATAAAAATTCAAACATAGGTTGTAGTTACAAAATTCGAATTTTGTTTCCTCATATATTTAATTAACTCTTCACAGTTCTAGTTTCCAAAGTTTTTGAAGTCGAGCGAAACAAACCCTGACATTTCTCTGCGCGGCACGCTTGAAACATATGCTTTAAAAAACACTGATGTTTAAAACCATAGTTATTAAAGAATCATTTAAAATACAATAGTTCAAAAAATTATCAAGTTTTATGTGATACATTAGCTTGGTGATCTTTCTAGCAAAGATATGATGTGGAAATAAATATGTTTAACGCTTTTTTTTTTTTTTTTTTTTTTCTTAGACTCCCAGTATTGATCTTTAACTCTGTGTTGCCCAATGTTCCCAACTTGGCTAACTATTCAAACAGTTAAATTCAATTATAAATATATGAAAATAGGTTTACTTTTAACTTCCCTTTTCAATCATTGATAACATCAATCACTACACAAGGCAATAATGATCTTCAGCTGTGAGACATGATTTCGGTAGGGTACGAACTGCTCCAAATTTGATCGAAAATTCCCGGCCCCCTCTTTTTTAATCCACGAACTGCGCGACGTTTCCTGTCCCCCATTTCTTTCCAAGAAGATTGGGTGCTACAAAAAGTCGTTTATCGCCATTAATGGAACATTCTATTGAGACTGCAAGCCTTTATTTTCGTTTATCAATATTGTAAAAATTGTGCATGTAAAACAAATATTAATTTAAAGTCTGGCGTGTGCTAAAAAATAAATTTCTTTTACACTCATTTTAAAGTTTTATGATGCTTAAAGGAATGATGAGCCAGACCTTTTTTTATTCTCTGTAAGAATTAAAAATTTTCCAAATTGTAGATTTTAGTCGCTGATATATATCAGTTTTGAATAGTAAAATTGATAGATTAATGATATACACAAAACTGATACATAATCAACGTATCAAATATCGGATTTGTAGCTCACCTTAAATAAGTTTCTTGTCGAGATAAATATTAACAAATCTTCTTAGATAGCAGAATGGTTTTTTACCATTTTATGTAAACAGTTCTAATTTAATTATAAAAATTACCTTTATTAAATCTAAAAATTGGACTTCTTAAGTCGTTCTAAATTCACACTAATATTATTTGCAATATATTCCCGTATTAAGCTTTCCATTTTTAATCATTGAAGTTATTTTAAGGTTATTTAACTTTGTTACAAATTCCATATTTTAATACTAGAAACGTTTAAATATTTATTCTGTTTTCCACCTGATGTACTTTGGCATACATTTAATTTCTAATACACATTTAATTAATAAATTGATAATTATGAGCGTCATCAGAATTTTATAATTAACAAAAAAAAAAAAAAAAAAATTTAAACTCCCTTATATTCATATCCTGGGATTTTCAGTCTCCCTTTTAATCCATTCCTTTTTCACATATTGTTGCACTGTACTCAAGTTTTCATGTATGTAAAATTTATATAATTTGTATTGTATTTATGCCAATTTATATTTAAATGATAATTTTTACAAATTCTTGCATCATAACTCTAGTTAACAGAAGATGTTTCTAACACCTTGGCAAAGCTTAATCTTCAGCATGTAGCTTATTTTCTAACCTAGTTTCAGGCTGAATTATTTGTAAAATTAATTACTTGAAAATATTTGTTAACAAAGATGGTCGGTCGCTAAATCACGCTAATAATATTTCTAACTGTTGTAATTTATAATGCAACGAGTTCATGTGATTTATAATATAATTCATCTATAATTTTTTCAGCAGTATTGAAATTAATAGCAGATACTGATAATGATATACATTTAGATTACAATGATTTAGATTGCCATTGCCTTCTTCACTCATGCTTTTATGCTACATTCCTAATATTTCATAATGGCAAACATGTAAATCTCTAATTCAGCCCACTTTTGGTCTTACGTGTGCTCTATCTTCTATTTTCTTTAATATATTGTTCAGCCTAATTTCAAAAGGTCTTATGATCAAGCGGAAAAGTCACTAAACATTGGTAGTTCGACCCGAGTTTCTAGTCCCAGTGATCCCCTAGCTCTTTCCTTTTTTTTTGTACTTATTTACTATGCAAAAATGTATAGTAAAAATTTCAGTTCATGAAGTAAAAATACTTTTAAAATTTATTCTTTAAAAATATTGCAAAATTTTTCACCTTAGCGTATCTTTTTACAAATCCCTCTTATAAGAAAAAGTAAGGAAAGAAATTAACTTGGTTTCGGTGATTGATACCTCAGTGCAAATTATGTGTAACTTTTTCCAAAAGCATAGAGTTTATATGGATATCAATAAATTATGGATTATTTCTCATCTAATTTTCTTAACATTTTTATTCCAGAATTTTCCTTTCACACTGTAGTGTTTAACTTTATGCGTTTTCTATAATAATTTACATTTGTTTATAATTTTACGCGAATGAAAGTGATTATTTAATTGTATAAGCTTTGCTGAAAGATAAACGAAAAAACAAAATTCTATCACTTGCGGTCAAGAGAGTGTTTGATGTAATAATTCTTATATATTTTCTTTGATAGTTTTTATTTAATTTCTTTCATTTATGCATTACTCCATTCTTTTCAAAAAATATTTGTCTGTGCCACTATGTCCATATTTCAGTTCCAAGGAATGCGTGCTCCGTGTAGGGTACATAATGCTTTTTTAAATATTTTTCTCAATATTTTGTAATTTAAAATTATTACATTTATTATGATATTTCACATTAATTTGTTTGAATACAATGGATTGCAATAATTAACTTACAATTTTTGGGTAACATGAAACACGTCTTAGGAATTCTAATCGTAAAATCATTCCATACCTGCGCTTGTTAAGTAAATCCTCGATTCTTTCCTTCCTTGTTTGCGTAATTCCTGTTTGTTATTTTTTTTATGCTGCTTCACACCATTTATTGCAGCGTATCTGAATTTGACGAATTACATCTATGAAGACAAATATATTAGGATGGGAATGATAAAAATTCGCTCTGAATTTTGAATGAAATGCTTCACATGCAATAGTGTTCTTTCCGATGAAATATCAGCGCAAGCCCAAAGCATCGGTGGAAATTTTACATCCTCATCTAGGTAGTTCTCGATTATGTAATAAGTAAAGCATGTGATGTTTGCATCCCGTGGTTGCTCTGACATCAGATCTTCAACGAAGCTTTCCGAAACTTCAGTAGCATCCAAAAAGGGTAATCCAAATACCAGTCGAAGCCATCTGCCAATTTCTGAATTAACATTCCTATACTGTTGCTGCAATCCGCACTGGTGAAGTTTTCGCCACCAAGCTTGAGTCAAGTGGAATCTACATCCTGTAATAGAACATTCAGGTCACATTTTTCTCACAGCTTCATGGATTGCATATTCAAAATCTGCCACCACAATTTCTGGCTGAAAATTCAAATGCAAGTTCTTTCAGTTTTTGAAGCATAGTTTCGTATATTGCCGTATACTTTCCTGGTAGTAAAAAAAAATACAAGTGGGATATAATGTCCATTTTCCACTGTATAAAACGTAAACATCTGAAAGAAAAATTTTGGGCAAAATGTGAAAGTGCCATCAACAAAAAACTTTATTTTGTCACATAACATCCTTAAATTTGAATCTCTTGAAAAACAAACTATATTATTTCTATCGTCATTAATCTGAAGAAGATTTTCATGTCGATAAGATATCACTTGCATTACATTTAATGCAGAATGCACATCAGAAATACATTTTGGAAGTGGAGGTAGGACTTTCCTTCTCTGTCGGTACATATTTCTCCGAATACAGTGAACAACATCATGGCTGCTAACGATATCTGAATGATGAGCTGCAACAATAGTCAGTTCTTTCCTGATTAATTTCTGAGGTTTTTCAGATGTATCTTCCGCTGCTTTCTGTTTAACACCGTTTGAAACAACTTGTCTAGAAATAGTCTTGCAACGCTAATGATTGTGACACAGATAAGATTTTGATAACACGTTATTTGTCATATCAAGATAAAGTGTTGCTTTGCATTTTTTACTTGTACAACGCCATTTTTGGTACTCTGCTTTTCCACAGTCCTTATAAAATTTATGTCCTGAAACAAGAACGAGAATTTTTCCTCTCTGACTGCGAATAAACTCCATCATAGGTAAATATGCTTAAATAACACCAAGTTTAATTCAAAGTTGAATTTATAAAAGAAAAATATATATATTTCACCAAGATAGTCAAAGAATCGTTCGGAACTGATTCAAAATTTAGCTATTTAAGGAATATACACTGACTTCCGGTTGTAGGGGTGAAAAAGGTCAGAGTAATAGTTGTGCTCATGAAAAATGCCTTGTAGCCCCACATGTTGTTACAAAGATGAATTTATTGCCTGCAAGAGTATTACGAAACCTTCTGCAAGTCCTCTGAAGATTTCTTTTGTGTTACAGAGCAATTAACAAAAGTAAATCTAAAGCGATGTATAAAAGAAATTAAAAAAACAAAAAAGAAACGATTTTTCACAGACATCTCAGTGTTTCTCATCA